CCCCCAGCCGGTCGCTGGCGGAAGCGAAGCTTACCGGCCTGCCCTGCGCCCGCGAAAACGTCGGTCTCGGAGCCGCTCTCCCACGACTTGCCCAGACCCTCGGGCTCGAACGTCTGGTCGGTGGGCGCAAAGCGCAGACTCGCCGAGCGCGTGCTCGCAGGCCGGTGGGGCACCTCCATCGCCTGCACGTTGGCCAGCTGGTTGTTGACCGGCGGCGCCACAGACGACCGCGCGGCCGACGCAACCATGATGCTCGCCTGATCCATCGAGATGCGGCTGGCGATGGACCTGAGCGGGCCGCTGGCGAGCATCGAGTCGTCGGCGTGCGCGCGCGGGTCGCGCATGCTCACGCTGCCGAGCCCGATCTTGTCGCCGTACGGATCGCTGATGGGCGCGAGGCTCACGAGGCTGTCGAACGGAATACCGTGCATGGTGGCTGCCAGCGGCACGTCGGCAGGCGGCAGGCCCATGCCCGTCTGGAGCGCCGAGAACGTCGCCGACGTCTGTGCGGCGTGGCTCGCGCCCTGTGCGCGGTGGTTCGCCGCCATGTCGGGCTCGGCAAACGTCACCGAAGGCTGGTGTGCCAGTTGCAGCGACTCGGGCGAGCGACCGGTCTCGACGCTGGCTCGATGCATGCTTGGGCTGCCGAACGAGTTGCGATGCAGCAGCTCGCGCGAGCGCGTATGCGGGCCTCCGATCGGATAGATGGCTTCCCTCTCTGCCCGCCTCGGCACATCTCGCCACCTGTTGACGCTGGTATTGCCCGTGGCGGTCCAGAAGTACGTGTCGTCGAGCGCGATGATCTTCTGGACGCCCGCCTTGGCGACGCGCCTGTGCAGGTCGGGAAGGTGGTGCGAGTCGTGGTCGCCATCGAGGCTGTCGTCGAGCTCGTCGTCGGCGGCGGCGTCGCGCTCCTGGCACAGCACGACGCACTCGCCCTCGGACACCTCGGCGCAGCGTTCCCAGTCGACCTTGCACACGTAGCCCTGGCGGTCGCCCGAGTAGAAAACGTCGAGCGTGGGATGGTCCGAGAAGAGCGACCAGACCGAGTCGGCGTGGTGGGTGAAGGTGTGCAGACAGCGCTGTTCGCCGAGCGACCACAGCCGCACGGTCGAATCCGCCGAGCCCGAGAGCAGGAAGCGGCCGTCCTCGCTGACGAGCACAGTGCGCACGTTGTCGGTATGGCCGACGAGCTCGGCGCACTTTTTGCCGCTGCGTGGATCCCACACCTTGACGTGGTGCTCCGGGGAGCCTGCGGCGATCACCGCACCGCTCGGGTTGACGCTGAGCGCATAGACGGAGCTCTTGACAGCCTTTTCGTCGAGCTCGAGCATAGGAGCGGCTCTGGCCTCGCGGATGTCCCAGAGCTTGATGCACTTGTCGAATCCGCCGCTGGCGACGTAGCCGGACTCGGAGGCGTGTGCGAGCGCCTTGACGTAGTCCTTGTGGGTGCCGAGCACGTGCGGGCTGAGGCTGTGGTTCGGGTCGTGCGGATTCCACACCTTGACGGTGCGATCGGAGGAGGCGGAGATGAGCGTCTGGTCGCGGTTGCACAGGATGATGTCGTTGATCCAGTCGGTGTGCGACTGGACGCACTGGCGGAAGCGGGTGCGGCGAGCGCGATGGGCTCGCAGCGGATCTGCCTGCCAGTATGCGAGCGTGTCGACCTCGGCGTCGGCGTGGCCGGGCAACGCCGAGGTGTCAGCTAGGAGGCCGATGGATTCGTCGTCGTGCGCCTCGTGCGTGTGTATACGCTGTGCGCTGCGTTTGCGCATGGGTAGGCCGAGCTCCCAAGCTCCGACCAGGCCGTCGCGGCCGCCGGTGTAGAGGATGCCTGGCGGCACAGAGTGATGGCGAGAATCCTGGCCGTAGTCGTGATCATTGTTGACGTCGATGTCATCGTCGTCCGAGTCGATGTCGTCATCGGAGCTGGGTGCTATGCATGTGGTAGTGTCGATGGCGAGCGAGGAGACGGCCAGCGAGTGCTGTGGGTGGCGAGTGAGCGGTGCGTTGGACTGGGTTGAGCGGCTCGACGACGAGGCCGCCGAGAGGGACGGCAGCGACGAGGTGGACGAAGTCGGCTGAGTTTCATTTCGCGGCGGCGGCTGGTTGCGCTCGCGCGGGACGAGGAGGGGACCGGTGTTGAAGCCGCGCTGGGCTCCCAACGGCGGGAGGCCGAAGGTAGCGGGTGGGCTGCGGCAAGGCGGCAGGACGTAGGAGACCCTCTTTGTGGTGGGTTTGGCGTCGGCAGCGTCCATGCTGGCGTGTGCGTCGAGGGCCATGCCCGGATGCGGCGGAAGGATGATGGTCTCGCGAGACGCCTGCTGGTGGGAGAAGCGAGTGTCTCAATGCATGTCGTGTGCGGATGTGCCGAGTTAAGAAGGATCCGATCTGCTGCGGTAGGCAAAGAGTAGCGTGGATGGAGTGGAGCAGAGGATGGACAGGCCGATAGCAGCGACAGGGGCGGCGGCGGCGTCGGCTGCGGATCATCCGAAGACCAGCTTACGGGTCTGGCTTTGTGGGCCAAGGCAGCTCGGCGCGGGCGCAGTGCAGTTAAGGCCGAGGGTTCTGCGGGTGTGGGCGCGTGCGCAGTGCGCAGTGCAGTGTGCGAGATGACCGGGTTGTCAGCCGCCCAAATTGCAAAATCCACCCTTGGGCCGGCGAGGGTCCTCCTCATCCTTCGACGACACTCGACTTTGGCTCGGACGCGGAGCAGCCGAAGCCTGGCCGGCCGGACCGACGAGACAAAAGAGGCAGCAGATCGGCAGTCGAGACCTCGGAAGCGGCTGCAGGAACCAGCCTCTGCCCCCATCTATTCCCTCACCCACTTCGCACGCAACGGACACTCTTGCTTTCGAAGCTTGACGTGGGAACGGCCTGTGTATCGTGCGGTGTCTCCGAAACCTCGCCTGTTTCGACAAAATCTGGCACGGCAGTCCTGACTGGCGCTGCACGCTGCACAGTGCTCTAGCAATGGAGAAGCACGGATGATCTGCAAGCTGCACGGTCGCTGCCGCGTTTGCAGTTCCCATGCAATCGGGCCGACGAATCGGCGTCTTGATTATTAATATGCGCGCTGCCTCCTCGCTTTGGCACCAAAAATGCACCCCGCAGACGAAGTGCATATGTTTGGGAGCTCTCCTCGGTGAATTCCAAGGTGATCCACCCTTTCTTTGCACCATCAACCGTCCTCGTCATGGCGATCAGTGCGCCCAAGTATCCCGGATGCAGCATCAACGGCACCTCGACGGGATCGTGCTGTGCCGTCTTCCCCGTCACGTTCAGCGAAGGCCTCACCACCTGCCAGACCTCGGCGGACCGGGTGCCCGCGCTCGAGTCGTGTCTCAAGGCGCTCTCGCCACCGCCCACCGTGGCGTGCACGGGTAGCGCCTCACCGCTCCACGCAAGACTCGCCCTGGTCGCCGTTACGGTCTCGCTTGCAATCACGATCTTATCCACAGTGTAAAATCTGCATCAACGATGACACTAGGCGTCCCACAGCTCTTGGTACGCGGGGCCGACCTCGGCCAGCAGGTCGTGGGCGAGCATGGCGCGGCGGTGCTTTTCGAATGCTCGGCGACTGCATGCACGCGCGGTGAGCGCAGCCCCATATCCTGCGTACAGCAACAGGTTATCCTGCGCCAGCTCTCCCGGCGACGATGCCGTGGAGCGCGGCGAGTGCTCCTGC